AGTAGCTGTTAAGCAACCTGTTGTGTGTGTGTGTGTATATGTGTGTATTAGCATATAATTTATATAGTTCCTTGGCTTCTTTGTTTAATAACACTGTAGTGGAAAGATCATTATAATGATAATACTCTCCTTGCTATTAATTACAGCTTATCTTGTTTCCTTGTTAATGGATGCTTCTTACTACTGAAGAAGATAGTTACTTCCTTTGTTCTCAATCAGTACTAATTCTCTTAAGAGTCTGTATGCAATTTTATGAAATAAGATGATAGAGAAATAAACATTTAGTTATAGTAGTATTAAAAGAATACTTTTGTCCACCAGTCAATCCTCATACAAAGCACTGCTGCTGCTGCGGCTAAGTCGCTTCAGTCGTGTCCGACTCTGTGCGACCCCAAAGACGGAATCCCACCAGGCTCCCCCGTCCCTGGGATTCTCCAGGCAGGAACACTGGAGTGGGTTGCCATTTCCTTCTCCAATGCATGACAGTGAAAAGTGAAAGTGAGGTTGCTCATTCGTGCCCGACTCTTCGCGACCCCATGGACTGCAGCCCACCAGGCTCCTCCATCCATGGGATTTTCCAGGCAAGAGCACTGGAGTGGGTGCCATTGCCTTCTCTGACAAAGCACTGAGCAGGCCTTACTTTTCTTGACCAACATTATTTTATGTCACATATATAGAGAGGCACATGTGTATATATTATGTATCCAACCATTTAGAATTACAGTTTCAAGTAAATTTGGGGATATCAGAGAAGCCTGATGTAAATGAATTACATGTTACTGGAGGGTTAATGAGGATGAAAAATTATGGTGATAAAGGAGGGACATTATTGATTGTGCTCCTCCAACGGCTTACCAGGTAAAGAATCTGCCTGCAATGTAGGAGATACAGGAGACACAGGTTCAATTCCTGGGTCAGGAAGACCCTCTGAAGGAGGAAATGGCAACCCACTCCAGTATTCTTGCCTGAAAATGAATCTCACGGACAGAGGAGCCTGGTGGGCTACAGTTCAAAGGGCCGCAGAGTTGGACAGGTCTAAGCGACTAAGCACGCACACATGACAAGGGCCAGTGAACATATGTGAACGTGGAAATAGGATGGCTATGTTTTAGGAAAATCATGGCAGATATAGAAAGGATGGATTAGAGGAAAGGAAGAATTTGTTTGTAGGGAGTTACTATCTTGGCAAGACTTGACAATGGCCTCACCTAAAGGAAATAGAAATTTAAGGAAGTGGATTTCAATGTTATTGATAGCACTTGGTGACTATTTGGGGAATGGGAGAGGTAAGTAGTAAGGATAAATCCTAAATTTTCATTTAGGGCAACTGGGTGGATGGTAATACCCAAATCCAGAAAAGATGGGGTAGAATATGTTAGACCAGCACACCCAAACATAAGAAAATCTTGTTTATCATTACCCATTGTTCTCCTATAGAATGTACTGTTCCCCACCCCTCCCTCTGTTTACCTAGAACTCAAAAATATTTGGCAGCTTTGAGGGTCAGAATCACCCCAGAAATTCTTGGCTGCAACCAACCAACAATATGTGATAAATAAGGGCTCTATTTTATGCAGATGAGCTTCTCTGGTGATAAGAGTTGTCTCCACCGGTTTTCTTCCTGGTAGGAAGACATTTTTACAAATGAAAAATTTCCTGTATAAATTTAAGTTTCCCTTACAAAAGGGGAAACGTATACTCTTATTTTTAGAGAGTAAGGGGGAAGGAAAGAGCTTTTCTTGAGTCTGCTCATTCTCAGGTGTCTTTTGTTCAAAATAATCCATATTTTAGAGAGCATATTTGAAGGGAACATATCCTTATACCTTGCAAGCACATCTACTTAGTTCCTGGAACTATAATCTCAAAAATCCACTCTGGTTGCTGAGCCTGGAATTTCCTTCCTATGATAGTTTGCAGGATTGCAATTTTGAGAGATTCTAATCCTTTTCTCTCTAGCCTTTTCTCTCCATGGATACCTATGCTTTTGACCAGGTTGTTGTTCTACTTGTGTTATACAATTTACTGAGAAAATAAGTACCATCTCTGTGTAATTATTCCAGGTATTGCAACACTTTACATACACAGTTTCATGTTCCATAGCATGCAATGCCAACATTTATAACTTTGAATAACTTCTTCATAATTTTTCTTTCAAATCTTCATATATATCTTCCCCGGAAAATCAGGCCTAAATAATCACTTCAGTAACTACATACAAAAAATTTAAACTGTAACATTGGTTTCTTCCAAATCTGTAGTTCCGGGTAGAACCTTTAAAATGAGTGACAGAGAACGGCATAACATTTTCTTTCGCTCACTCTCTCTTGGAGTATTTTAGAATACAATGCTGGGCATACAGATAAGTGACGTGGTTGGAAGTGTTAGTTAGTGTTAGTTTTTTATTATGTCACCTAAACTGTTTTTAAAAATATATACAATAGTTTTTAGAGCAAGGTCTCTATACTTATAGAGCAGTGGTCCCCAACATTTTTGGCACCAGGGACTGATTTTGTGTAAGACAATTCTTCTGTGAATGGGGAGGGGGAATGTGAGCAATGGGGAGCAGTTGTAAATACAGATGAAGTTGTGTTTGTCATCACCACCCACCTCCTGCTGTGCTGCCCAGTAATTAACAGGGACTGGGGACCCCTGATATAGAGGACGCATTCACTCCAGTAACTTTCTCCCAAAGATTCTGAAAATTTTGATAATTTTAATAATTATATTAGTTTCTTTCTCACCCTTCAGTGAAGCTATTTTAACGTCAGTGATGCCTTTTGTTTTTGACGCATATGAGTGTGTTTTAAACTAATGCATGTACTTTTTTCCTCTTTTGTTTACTTCTTTTATCTTTGATTCTTTTTTTTCCAGAAATTTTTCCAAGTATCATCTCTTTTATCCTTCTAGTTCTTAATTATTTGCTCTTGCAGACAAACCTACCTACTCTCTCCTCCCATCTCTTTTCATTTTTGAAATTTAATTTGTCATTTTTCCCTCTTAAGTATTTTCCATTATCTTCTTTGCTAATCTATGTCCTTCTTTTCTTTGAGGTCCTTTATTTCAGCCTTTTTGATAATAGTAATTTGTTCATCTTTACAATACTTGTTGAAGGCATAGTATGTGTTTGAACTGTGATAGGTGCTAGGAATGTAGTGATGAACACAGAAAGGCTCTCTGACATTTTCACATTTTAAGGACAGAAATAATTAAGCTGTACATACAATACAATTTGGTAAGAACCATATGGAATGAAACGTTTTGAGCTATTAAGGGGGATCTGGAAGCACACAGAAGAGACCTCAACCAGAACTGGGTTGAAGAAGAATCCCTGCATGTGGATTAGTTAAGCAAAGAAGAGGTGATGAAGGCAGAATTTTTCTAGGCAGAGGAGGCCCAGGAGAGAGAGAGAGAATGTGTGTACTCAGGGCCCTTTATTAGTACTGAAACTGTTTCAGTGTAACTGGATGTATATTTGTGTCACTTTCTGCACAGCTGCAAAAGCTTTGGAGGTTTCTGTTTATTTTTATGTTTTACCTTTACTCAAAAATAAGACCTCTCTGTTCTACTTTCATAACAACTTCCTGCATGCCATAATTCAGCTGGTAGATAATTGGTACTTTATACCTGTTGTTGACTAATTTTAGGTGCCTGGGGCAGGTATGTTAATACATTTCCATTTTTGTCATAATGAGTGAGGATTGATATATGTATTTCTCCTCTTATGGGGAAGTCAGAATGTGATGATTATAGTGTTTTATTGTCAAACATTCAATTTCAGGTCACTTGGTGAAGTATGAGCTTGGTGTGTGTGTTACACTATGCAATTGTACTAGGCAAAGGACTGCTTTATTTTAGAACAAACCACAATCTGGATTTTAAATCAGAGGTTTATGACATGTTGATAAAATGGGCCTTAGATAGTAAATGGTCAGTTCATTTTACAGGTGGAGAAACTGAGACCTGGAGAGGTTAATGAAGGAAAGAACTAACTGTGATGAGGATTTGGGTGCATGTATGTTTATTTTTATTCTGAAACTTTTGAGAATAACTATTCTACTTTTTATTGCCATTTCTGTTGTTTACATAATTTATATAATCATTTTTCACTAATAAGCTGGCAAACATGATGGATAGATTATTTTTACATTGAAAATTTAAAAAACTAGGAGATGTTTGAGTCTGAGTTCTTTTTTTTTTAAACTAATCTGACCAAGATGAAAAGTCAAGGAATTTTAGAGGAAGGAAATACAGATTGTTTTTTACTCTAGATGTCTTATGGGAGACAGGGATTAAATAAATTGACTTATTTTTGTCATCTACTTCCTCTCTTGTAAATGAATAAAGATAAATCTCCAGTGTGTGGCTCATCTTTGCTAGGGATGTGTGTTTTGTTTGAGGCAGAACAGTTGAACCTAATACTATGTTTCTGTTGAAAAGCAATGTAAATATCAGTACCCTTCTTTTACCAGTGAGGACCTTGAAGTGCTGTAAGATTGGATGGACTCATTTCTTTAAGGTTTCTCAGTTAATAAGTAACAGCTGATGTCAGAACACAGTGACATCAGAGCTGTGGTTCTGCATTCTTTCCATTCAGAAGGAGAAGGGAGGGAAGGAAGCGGGTGTAGGAGGAAAAGGAAGAGCTAGAGCTAGTTCTAGTTCACAGCTAGAACTAGAGCTACTCCAAAGCCTACACGTAACTAATTCCCATGGTGTCCCTTATTTTCCCATATTTTTTTTAGTGGACGTTGCAAAATTCACTTTAAATTTTACTTTATTTCTATAAGGTAAGCAGATTGGGAGCACTAAAAAAACAAACAAAACACTGGGTCTGTTCCACGCCATGGTGGTAGTACAGACACTCTTTTGGCAGGAAGTATTGATAAGTTTCTGGACTAAAGCGAAAGTAGGGAATTAAAAGTTAACACCAAAATTGAAACAAAGCCACGTTTTGTGAAGCGCACACTAATAGCAGTCCATTGGATCAAAGGATATGATCTCACTTCACAGTAAAACAGGTCTTGCAAGCCCAGGTAACTCAGGAAGCAGAATGGTAATTATTCACAGAAGAAAGCAGGTAGTATACTGTTACATTACTACAGAGGAAAGTCAGCAGGTCACCGGCTTGCAGGGTAACTGACACAGCTGAAGCTGCTTGGCCCCCTTTAAACAGAAGTAGTAAAATGGGAGAGAATGAAGCAAGTTTACCTAATACTGCTTTGCAAGGTAAGTGCCAACAGCCTCTGAAATGGTCACAATCAGATGTGTAAGTGGTGTCGATTACAGAGTGTGTGTGTCTCTGTGTGTGTATGTGTGTGTGTGTGTGCGCGCGCGCGCGCGGGCACCCCTGCTGCGTTTCAAGGTGTGCTTTGAGGGTGGGGAAAGAAGTGGGGATTGTTTCTGAAGAAGCAGCTGTCTCGTCCGTTTTTCTCAACTACTCAACCTACACAGAAACACAAATTTGGTGGAGTAGGGAAAACCTTATCTTACTTGAGCTATACTGCTGGAGAAATGGTACAACCTACTTCCAGTCCATTTTCATGCGAAACTCTTCCCAATATTGGCAGAATATTGATTTTTGTCCTTGCCTGTGAGATTTTTATTTGTAATCAAATTTTACCATCTCTGGGATTTACCAGCCAAGTGTCCTTGTAATTAATATTACCACTTTTTTAAGGTAGAAAACAAGTCTCAGAGGGCAGTGTCTGGTTGGGGAGAGTGGTTGGTTTTATAGGTCTTACTTTACCTTTGTCCTTTAAAGGAACTGGCTTTATTGACATTGGCTTGACCAGGCTACTGTGGCTAGCCTTGTTGACTGAAACAAATACAAGTTGCATCACACTTTCTACTTTTTTGAGTGAGAAAATTTCTTTAAAAAAGAAAAAAAGGGCAGAAGGCATATTTGTTGCCGTAATTTCTAGTAGTCTACTCTCTTGTTAATTATTTACCACCTTTACTAGTGACATTTTGATCAAGGTCTTTATAAAGAAGTCTCCTTGATATGATGTTTTTATTTCCTTAAATATGTTCTTGTGAAGCTTACCAACAAGAGAATACTCAAACACCTGTTTTCCTTTAAGTGTATGTAACCAAAAACACAACTACATCTGTGAAATGTAACACATCTGAGTATAGCAAGACCATCATAGACATGCTTGGTTATAAACATGTATCACCCATTTTTAGAGAGTTAAATAATCTTCCAGAATACCTGTTTTTTTTTTTCTGTATTTTCATTAATCCTTTCTCTACTTACTTTGCTTAAAAAATCCCAGAATTGTATTTCTATTTCTGTGTATTTCCTAAAAAAAAAAAAAGAAAGAAAGAAAATTTGAAACACTGTGTAAAATGCTATTAAAAAGTACCTTTAATGTGAAGAATAATTTTAAAAGTTATTTATTGCTTTCTATTGAAGAAAAGCAGCAAGGTAAAAGAATCATTCAGTATAACTCTATGAAATAATTTGTGTTTTATGGATAAAATGTATGTGATTATAACATATGCCTTACCTGTTTCTGTAATGTTTTTCCATGGGAAAGTATATAGGAAGCATCTAGGTTGTTTGAGTTGTTCATATAATAATAATTTCGTATCATATGTGTATGACTGTTTGGCAACCCCCAGAATAGCCCATCGTAGCCTGTCTTGTACATCATCTGTGTCTGTGTTCGGGATTGAAATAAACTGAGGAGTACCCTGGCAGCTTTCCTGTCCCCTCATCATCCCTCTTTGTGTCAGGTTCAGGGATAATATTTGCTTCTTATTTTAGAGTCCCAGAATGTGCCTAGACTGTCTGTTGTTTTGTGGGGGTTTTTGTCTCTTTTTTTCCTGACCCTTTTATATCTGTTCTGAGTCTGGTAATATGTTCCATTTGCGAAGGGTGAATTTCTCTTCCTCCTATATATTGGTTTTTCCAATTATTTTCAAAATCAATTATTAGCACAAATCAGAAAAACATGCATAAAATTTAAAGTAAGAGCTATGGTAAATAATTTGAATGTCATGGTTTGAGTTAGAAAGCAGTGTGCCTTGATTCATAAAGCTTTTGTAGCTGGGGAATACTTGTGAGATCAGTTCTATCCTGGGGTATTTTCCTTTGTATACTCTGCCTAAACTTTTCAATAAGGAATGTGTTCTCTTCTGATCTTATCTGAGTTGAAATGCATCCTTGGTAGGTCTACAAATAGTTCAGATCTCTCTTCTTGGAGTGTTGAAATGCTTCCATTCTAGACATATTTGCCTTAAGATTATTCAGTGAACCTATTAATCAGTGAGAATTAATGAGAAACAAGGTGCTTCATTAGTTTGAAATTACTTCTGGATCTTGTTTTAATTATAAAGGAAAACACAGTGAGAATAATTTTTGCCTTTATTTGTATGTGTGAAGGTAAGAGAGTTTGCTAAGGTTGTCTAATAACAAACCAAGATATATCCAGGAGTCTTTATTTATGGATTGCTCGAACAGTATTCTATTTTCTGTGCCATAATCAGTCTTATATCTGAGCCTGAGTTTTAAAATTATCAAAGTAAATGAAAAATGCATTTTGAAATGTTGTTTAATTTTTCTTTTGACCTAATAGCATTTATAGAGATTCTAAAGTTCTCTAAAATAATACTGCTTATAATCAGCTCTGCCACAAATAAGTATTCTTAAACAGAAACGACTATATTCAGGTGTTTTGTACATTTAGCCTATAGATGATTTAAATGTTTTGGCTATGAAGATAATAAGTACTTAATAAATGATAGATTATCATTAGAACTCCATCGTATGTTTTGAATAATGGTTTTCTAAGGCCATTGTATGTATCTAGATTATCTAGACTCACTGGTCCATCTCTAGTTACAACTTGAAGGGCTAGCCATAGACACTGTCAAAGATTATTCATTTTAGCACTATATCCTGTAGGCCTCTGACCATTATTATATCCAAGCTGCTGGTAGATTATGTCCTGATTAAGAGCCCATAAGCTATCAACATTTAATGTTTCCAATGATATTGGGAATCTATCTTTTCCTGAAGGAGAGTGAAATCTTTCCAAAGTTATCTTCGGCTTAATGTGAACAGATTTCAATTATCTTTTCTAACCTAAGAAGCAATCTCTCCCTTTTAGCCTCAGTGATAAAGTTAACTCAACAGACAATTATGTAAAACCTTCATACATGAAGGTCCATATATGGATTTTTATGGATTCATAAAATAGAATTATCTTGGGTAGAAAAGAATACTAAAAAATGTTTTCTAATTTTTGAAAATAAAATAAAATGTACAAACAATATGGCATCAGGAATAGGGATGAGTGCATTTTTTCATTGTTATTTGCTAAGGAAAGGAAGCAGCATTTCCTTACATAATATCTGTAAGCACATGTACCACTTAGTGGCAAATTGTCAGTCTGTGACAGTAGTGAATGGCCATGGCTGAGATGACAGGATGGTGGCAACTCCCTTCTTGGCAGGGAGTTATTTGGAAATTGACTGAGGATAAGGTTTCTCTACAATCCTGGAGACCCAGGTTCTATTCCCGGGTCTGGAAGATCCTGGGGAGATGGGAATGGCTACCCACTCCAGTATTCGTGGCTGGAGAATTCCAGAGACAGAAAATCCTGGAGGGCTACAGTCCCTGAGAGTCACAACGAGTCAGACACAACTAAGCTACCAACGCGCACACACACAAGATTTCTCCAAAGGGTATCCTTGAGCAGGTAAGGGACCCTAACCTAGTCTCTCTCAGGAAGGACAGGCATTTTCTGCTTCTCCCAGGTGTCTCATTAACAGGCAAGGCAGACCCTAGTCAGCACTGTTTTTAAAAAAAGTTGGTTGGGGGGGTTATTTTTTCAGGTTTCGGTTTTTTTCTTCTTTTGGGGCTTCCTTCTTCCTTCGGGATTTCGGCCCCGGGGGTTTTTTTTTTTTTTTTCTTTTTCTTTGTTCAACCGGTCCAAGGCCACCTGCCTTTTTGTAAAGGATTGTTGTTCAGTCATTCAGTCGTGTCCAACTGTTTTGCAACTCCTTGGACTGTATGTGGCCTGCCAGGCTCCTCTGTCCATTGGATTCTCAGCAAGAATACTGGAGTGGATTGCCATTTCCTTCTCCAGGGGATCTTCCCAACCCAGGGGTGGAACCCATGTCTGCTGCATTGTCAGGCAGATTCTTCACCACTGAGCTACCAGGGAAGCCGTTTGTAAAGGATGTGATTTATCCTTGGAATTATTTTAATAACAGGAATCTCTTGAGTTCAGTGCCAGAACAATCTTGTGAGAGGGGATCTCTTTGAGTGGAGTTTCCTCTGAGCTACTTAACACACCCTCTGCTCTCAAACTGCCTGCTTATCAGCTCCTTGGATGTTTTTGAACACCTTCTAATTAAAGTCCTTTTTCTTACCTCAGTTCTTTGTTCTTTAGGTTTCAGTTCAGTTCAGTCGCTCAGTCTTGTCCGACTCTGTGTGACCCCATGAATTATAGCACGCCCAGGCCTCCCTGTCCATCACCAACTCCCGGAGTTTACCCAAACCCATGCCCATTGACTTGGTGATGCCATCCAACCACCTGATCCTCTGTCGCTCCCTTCTCCTCCTGTCCCCAATCCCTCCCAGGGGATTTTTCATCAGGGTCTTTTCCAATGAGTCAACTCTTTGCATCAGGTGGCCAAAGTACTCTAGGTTTAGGAACATTCTATTCTAAAGGCCACAAAAGACTAGAACTCTGTGGGAAAGATGTTTCTAAGTTCAGAAGTTTGGCTAGACCCTTTCAAATGCAAGGCCAGTTTTAGGTTGCTGTCAGCAGAGAGGAGAGCTCTTCTCCAACCCTCTGAGGGAGAATCTGGCTGTCAGAACCAGGGTGAAGAAATCTGTAGAAGATCAACATTTTCAAGGTAGAGAGGGAGTATATAGGACCTTAAGTCCAAAATTTTTACTTTGTAGAGGAACAGAGATCCTTTGAAAATACAAAAATTGTTCTCAGTTCCTCAGAAGCAGTTGCCAGAACCCAAGTCTCCACCCTAGCTGCCTAAATCCTATAATTTGATGGAGGGATTTGGCACATTGTTTTCTAGGAGTATTTACTTTTTAGAGAAGGGAATTTAGGCTTAAAAATGCTTTCCATATTGACATATTTTAGCCTCTGTGGTATGACCTGTAAATCACCATCCAGTGTTCAGCCTGACTTTTAAATGACTGGTCCATCCAGGCATCCAGGCTTGGGTATTCTCTTGACTACATAAAAGTTACT